GGAGTACCACACGGTCCGGGTGGAAAATGCACAAATCCTTACGGACCGACAGTGCCGCCAGCTCTGATATGCGCCGAGCCGACGTGATGGCCACTAAAAAGGCTGCCTTATGAGACAGGTGACTCATATCGCTCGACGCTAATGGTTCGAAGGGTGCCCTTGTTAGAGCCCTAAGCACCCGGGGCAACTCCCAGGAAGGATATCTATGTACTGTTGGTGGCCTGATGTTAGCTGCCCCCTTAAGAAAGGAGCGTAGCAGTGGGTGGTGAGCTAACGACCCTCCGTGTTCCCAGGCGAGAACAGTAGAGAGCGCAGCTAGTTGCCTACGCAAGGTATTAGGGGCCAAACCTTTGTCCAAGCCTTCCGACAGATATTCCAAAATATTAGGAATATTGAGTCGTGAGAGAGACAACTTATGTTTGTCGCACCAAGCACAAAAGTTTTTCCACGTTGCCTCATAGATGCGATTCGTGGATGGGCGACGGGATGCCTGTATGACCTCAATGACCCTTAAAGAGCAAGATTGCCTCGCCAAATAGCTGCGTTCAAGTGCCAGACGGCTAGCTGCAGCCACTGGGAATCCGGATGTAGAATGGCCCCTTGACTGAGTGATATCCTGTCTGGCGGAATCCTCCACGGATCTGTTGCGGAGAGACCCAGCAGGTCGGCAAACCACGGTCTCCGTGGCCAATACGGGGCTACCAGTAGAATCTCCGCATCTTCCCGGAGCAGTTTGCGTACCACCGCCGGGAGAAGAGGGAGAGGTGGAAACGCATATAGCAGACCCCGAGGCCATGGAGAGCGCAGCGCATCTACCTGTTCCGCTCCCTGAGCCGGGAAGCGGGAGAAGAAGCGGGGGAGCTGGGTGTTGGCCGGTGAGGCGAATAGGTCCACTGAAGGTAGACCAAATCGATGGCAGATCTCTTTGAAGACCCTCGGGTGAATCCTCCACTCTGAGTGGTCTATTGTCGCTCTGCTCAAGACATCTGCCTGGGTATTGTCCTTCCCCGAGATGTGCTCGGCCTTGATGGACGCTAGGTTGTGCTCTGCCCAGGTCCCCAATATTAGTGCCTCGTTCAGAAGGATTCGAGAATGAGTGCCCCCGTCTGTTTACATGAGCCTTGGCCGTCATGTTGTCCGTGAGGACAAGTACATGACGCCTCCGGACCTGGCTGTGGAAGTGAAGGAGAGCTAGATGTACGGCCCTCAGTTCCAACCAGTTGATGTCGTGGCGGAGGTCTGAATGAGACCAATGACCCTGTGCCCAGTGGGAACGAAGATGCGCCCCCCACCCAAAGAGGCTGGCATCGGTCGTGAGGAGGAGCCGCTCCGGCTCCTTGAACAACGACCCTTTGAGGATGGCTGGGGACAGCCACCATTTGAGGGAAAGCGAGGTCTGAGATGGAAGCCTCACTCTTCTCTGAGAGGCACTGATGTTCTGCCTCTGGAAGGGGAGTAGGAACCACTGCAATTCCCTGGAGTGGATCCTGGCCCACGGCACTATGTCTATGGCTGAGATCATCTGTCCTAGCACCCTGGAAAGGCTGAGTAGAGAAACCTTCTGCCCCTTGCGTACTTGGCAGATGGACTTTCTCAGGTTGGTCAAACGTTCCTGAGACAGATACACCCGGCATTCCCTGGTGTCGATGACGGCCCCTAAATGCAATAGTCGAGTCGTGGGGACCATATGACTCTTGGGGAAGTTTACCGAGAACCCGTGATCCTGGAGCAGCTGCACTACCTGGTCGAGATCCTGTCGTGCCGAGTGGGCGGAGGTTGACTGGATCAGGATGTCGTCCAGGTAACACTGGACCCTGATCGGTACCATCCGAAGGCGAGCTGCCAGGACCGCCAGGATCTTGGTAAACACCCTGGGGGCCGACGAGAGGCCAAAGGGTAGAGCTCTGTATTGATAATGCTCTCCCTGGTAACTGAACC